CAAAAAAATCATACCCCCATGTAATTTTACATCCGAAAATTTACATGGGATATGATTTTTTCGGATGTAAAATTTCGAAAAATTTTGATGTCATATTCCGTATAAATTTCCTAATAAAATTATGAAAATTACATGGAAAAATTTGTATCGCAAAATTAATAAATGTTAATGAAATAATTGAATTTTTTTAAAAAAAATACGAGTTAGACGTCTTTTATTAAGGCTCGCGTTTAACGTTGGTTTAACTATTTTCGATATCTGTTTGGATTATTCGATATGTCCATAATGTAGTTCTCGAAATGAGTTTTGAGATGATATAAGCAATTCGTATATTCAATTAGCATATGATCGTAGGAGAATTTTTAAAATTAGTGTGTTATTGAAATTCAAATTTATTGTGATTTTGTCCTTGGCGATTAAAATCAATTTTTTAGTAAAGTTTGATAAAAATTAAACAGTTATGGATTCCATAATATATGTTATTAAAATTAATTGTTAACTTTGATTTATATTAAAATTTAGATTTCAATCGATAACAAACACGATTTTATAAATTAAAAAAAAAAAAAAAAAACCACAAAATTTGGGAAAAAAAAAAAAAAAACCTCAAAAGTTGGGGGGCACTTGCCCCCCAGCCCTAGGTCTGCCCATGCAACGGTTCTGGCTTTTTTGGGCTCGAGCCGAGCCTAGTAAAGCCCGTCTAAAAAAATGAGACTTGGCTCGAGCCAGCAGGCTCGCTCGGGCTCGAGCCTACCCCCCAAAATGGGGCTGGGGCTGGGGCTTTTTCTGGGCCGGGCCGGGTCTAGCTCGAGTCGTCCTAGTCGACGAGCTTTTTTGCCATCCCTAGTAGCATGAGATCATGTGACCCGCCCCCCAATTTTTGAGCAAATCAAAATAGGTCGTTCTAAACTAATATTTCAAAAATTTTGAATGACATGCCAATTTTAAAAATTCTCTGAAGATCGTACACTAACCAAATCCACAAGTCACCTACGTCATCACGAAACTCATTTTGAGAACCATATTATAGATATATCAAATGGTCCAATGAATATCGAAAATAGTTAAAAATAAGCCAAATCTACGTTTTAAAAAGAGGCATCTTTAAAAATTTTGAATTATTTCATTAATGTTTATTTTTTTGCGACAAATTTCTCAATATAATTTACATCTTTTTATTAAGAAATTTTACATGGGATATGACGTCAAATTTTTTTGAAATTTTACATCCGAAAAAGTCTCATCACGTGTAAATTTCAGGATGTCTCTTTTGGAAGTAAAATTTTAGATGTAAATTTTTAAGTGTAAAATTTCTCACAACTTTTTGTAAATTTAACTGTGCCCCTAAATCAAAATACCTGCGTCCTCAAACTATCAAATAACACATCAAGTCTAACTAGTAACTTGAACAACCTTCTATTAGAGCACTAGTTGGAACAAACACTTTTCAAAATCCAACCCCCGCACACACGTACAAGGGCCACCAGTCGATATATCTCCTTATTAACTAACTATCACTTATTAATTATGTCGAACTTTTCATGAATAAACAAATGGAGATTTAAATCGAAGTTCTTCGCTATATGTAGGCAAATTAACGAATCAGACCATGCCAAATACTAATTATAAGTAAATATATTCACGCGCACAATTTTTAATTCTTGCACCACATTTTAATTGAACTTAAAATTCTTAATCTTTGTTCATTATAACATTTATTTCCCTAACAATTTTTCATGTCATTCTTATCTTTTCATTAGTTAACACATTTTGTATTTGATTCATTTTCATGTCCAAAAGTCACGTTGAATAGCGTAAAATAACTTATTTCTCATCATATTTTTAAAAAATATAAAAAATAATTAAATAAAAAATGCGAAACAATATTTTTCTTTAATTTCAAAGCATGAAAACAAAATATTTTGAAATCATCAAAGACGAGACCTACTAATTAATGGAAGATTGAAAATAAGAATTCGAAGGAAAAAAGTAAAGGAAACAATTGCCATAATGAGTAAAGATTGATGAATTTAGCTGCAACTAAGAGAGAATAGTTTTTGTTGCCCACGTTATTAATAATTTATTTTTCTATTCTATTTAGATGAACACTCATCGATTATCAGTAAAGAGATCAATAATATCGTTTTACAACTCTTAACTAGGAGTTTAGGTTCTTGAAATAATTTTTGGGAGTATCTCGACCAATGGTTAGATTGTTCAAGCTAAAGAAGAACAAAAATCGACGAGGAAAACGAAGAACATGGACAACTTTTAAATGATATTTGAACATTTTTGTATTCGTACTTAAATGTATGACTAGTCTTTTATATAATGGAACCAATAATAAAGTGTTGGCAAAAAGTTTAGCTCAAAAGAAAGCGTACTACAAATTATTTTCAATAATTTTATTACTTATAAAACCCAAATACTTTTTTCATATATCATTTATATTTAATACACTATACAAAAAATGCACGAATTATTATCGTATTTCTCAAGGGAAAAAAAGGAAATAAAATGTCTATTTAATCTCTTTTTCTTTTTATAGAAAGAGATAATCCTTTATATTATGACATCTCACCATAATTCAATGTCATAATTCACAGAGAGTTGTAACAAAACACATACACAAACTAATTCAAGAATTTCGTAATTTCTTTGCTCCGTTAATTTAGAAGCAATTTATCTCCTTAAGAAATCAAAATACAATAAAACTAGCTGTACAAACAAGGGTTCACAATCTTGATTGACAACCATGTATTGTCAAAATTCGAGCATTAGATGTAAAAATGGAGTTTTTAAAATGTAAAAATGGAGTTTTTAGTAACAATGGATAAAATCTCATACCGAATAAAGATGAAAACATAGATCAATTTATAAGAGTACTTTTGGTTACTCCCCTTAACAAGGTTGACATTTTAAGATGGAATCACAAATTTTAATATGGTATCAAAGTTCATTAAATTTCAACTAGCAATTCGATCTGATTAAAACTCAAAAAAATTGAGCACGCGAATTTCAAGATTGATCTGCTCAAACGAGCCACCATTTTGCGGGGACGTGTTAAAAGATAAAATCCAACATCGAATAAAGACGAAAATATAAACCAATTTATAAAAGTTTGGGCTACTTCTCCTAATA